ACGGGGCTCTTTTTGCAAACCCCCCCAAAATTTCAGAAAAAAATTAATTTTTTCACTGCGTTAGTAGCTGCCTTTTGTTTCAAGTTCAGCGGACATTACATTTGGTTTGCTGGCAACAGAATGGATAATCGTGTCGTATGTTTTAGTCTGTATCTCCGGATTGCGGGTGTACACGAGGAAACGATTTCGCACGATGCTAGGCGAATGTACTGTGTCCGCTTTGAGGGTTGAGTTACGCGTAGTAAATCGTAGGTATTCTAAGGCTAGTAAATGATGAATTTCCTTTGTTTATTGAAGTCACACTCCTTCCCTATTATCTACTCCTGATATTACCTATCTTTGGATGATCGACGCTTAGACGAAATAGGAGATCGAGATTTCCTTCTCTCTGAAAATAATTAATAATAATATAAAATTAGGAAAGGGATGAAAGAATGGTTTTGTTTATTTATAAATAATTTCCTACACCTGAGGATATTAAAAATCGTTGTTTTTATTAAAACTAGAAGAAAAAGAGAAAAACCAAGTGTCCACTACACAGGTGTCCATATTATAGAGACAGTTTCATTGTATAACTGGAACCGAAGGGAAATTTCCAAAACATTCTTTAAAGACAGAAAGACCAACAGGCATTCATTTTATAGAGGTGAGTGCTAACACAGGTTAGGCTGTGTATTTAAAACAAAACAGCTCTAGTAAGTTCATTGTTATTGTTAGTTTAACAGTGGATTTACCTCTCGGCCTTCTTTCACGGTCTCTTGATCGTGACCGTTTTCGCTCAGATCTATCAGATCTCTCTGCAAAATACAAAACAAATAAGTGACAAAATACATGCACTCACGCACGCACACACACGCACACACATATATATATAACTGCTGGTAGTGTTCCAGGTGGAGCTTTGAGAATAAATATGGTAACTGTAGCACTTTATTGTGCTCAGAATTTAGGAAAGAGAGAACTCTAGAACTATAGCCCTCCGCTCCGCCGCAGGCCTGCGGCCCCCAGCCTGCGGCGGAGCGGAGGGCTATAGTTCTAGAGCTAGAAAAGAGATTAACCAAGTGATGTGGTAAAAATAAATTCCAGATAAAATCGTGATGCTTCTTTGAAGAAATCGCTCAAGGCCCTAAAAATAGTGACACATTAAAATTTTCATGGCACAATTGTTTGTTAACTTATATGCTCAAACAACTTCACTCGTTTTGCTGCCACAATGTTGGCAGTGGCACATCATTCCCACAGGCACTTGGAACGTCTCAATAATAATAAAAAAAGGTAAATAAACACGAAATGTATTTACTACCAAAGTCTTAATGTTTCTCTACTCTATGTCGCCTATTATTGCCGATAATTACCCGTAAATGTCGGTCAAATGCTCATCTGCAACACACAAGTACACCGCACGCCCGCCCTGTGCACAAACAACATGAATAAGAGAGCAGGTAGGAAAGCGTAATCGCAAAATTCGCTCGACGCTCGCTTCATTTCACACCTTCACAGCACGAATACACATCCAACAGCTTCCATCTTGGTATCTATCATATGTGTAGCTAAAATGTTCACTTGTTCGAATTATAACTCTGTCCTTTGTCCTTACCTACTCCCGCCACAGATATCTCGTGAAATCCTGCAGGAAATGTTCTCTCCGTGAAAATGTAAAGCGCATGTAAAGAGGACGTATCATCCGAAAATCCCTAACGGCGCTACTTTCGATCGATCACTGTAGTCGTGTGTGTGTGACGTCATGCCTGCGCGCATTATGCTTGGCTTGGCAGGCCTCGAAACGAAGGGTCGGAGGCAGGCAGCAGCTCATCCCGGCATGAAATGCGCCGCCATTACTCGTGTATAAACAGACATTTCGTCCTCTTTACATCCTCTTTGCAATTTACATTTTCACGGAGAGAACATTTCCTGCAGGATTTCACCACTGGCAGCAAGAACAAGTCCGCACCTGCAGCTACAGCACACACGCGGCCATTGACTATATATAACTTAAGTATTATAACAACATGGTGCCTAACTCGCCGCCGCAGTTTCCACAACTCACTGTTTTCAATCAGTTACAACTCCGGTGTTCCTGCAGGTGACGCCACTTTCCAACTATCGTTATCAATCGATCGAATCGCGGCAGACTGCTGAACAAGCTACACCCGCCATTTTTGACAATCGGCCCACCAGAATGCGCTTAAATCACAGAAATTCCTCAAATATCCATGCGAAAAGATCCTTCGAATGCTACCAGGCAAAAAGGCGGCATGCCCAACCGCTGGCAGCTGCGCTGATTGGCTGCAGCAAGTTGAACGTGCAGACAGGCTGCGCAACTACGTTTGTTGACATCGCGGGTGAGTCATGGCCAATCAGCGCAGGCCGCCAGCGGTTGGGCATGCCGCCTTTTTGCCTGGTACATTCAATGATCTTTTCGCATGGATATTTGAGGAATTTTTGTATTGTAGCGCATTCTGGCGGCCGATTGTGAAAATTGCCGGTGTAGAATTGTTCAGGCAGTCTTTCGCGATTCAACGATAGTTAAAGTGCGTCACCTGCAGGAACACCGAGTTGTAACTGATTGAAATCGGTGAGTTGTGGAAACTGAGGCGCGAGTTAGGCACCAGTGTGGTTATATATAGTCAATGGCCGCGTGTATGCTGTAGCTGCAGGTGCGGACTTGTTCTTGCTGCCAGTGGATTTCACGAGATATCTCTGGCGGGAGTAGGTAAGGACAAAGGACAGAGTTATAATTCGAACAAGTGAACATTTATACCCTATCGGATATCCCTATCGGATATCCCTATCGGCTATCCTAAATATTATACACTATTTGAACACCCTATCCTGTGTTTGGGTTACTAATAGTATACCATAGATATATACAACACATGTGTTGTATATATCTATAATCTATGCTAATACTATACTTATGGCCCTCCCCTAGTCATGGCTCCAAGAAACGGTATTGCTAGGGTTACAATACCTATAGACAATCCGTCGCACAATCCGTATAGACAATCCGTCGCACAGCCTGGTCGGGCTAACCTAGTGACTAGTCACCGACTAAATCGGTAGTCTAGAAAACATGTCCCACAATACTTCATGTCTACAATACAATACACAATGGGTCATGTATTATAGACTAGCTCGGAATATATAAGGCTTACCTCGTCTATGCGGGGACCTGCTTCTTGATCTAGTTCTTCTAGGCATTTCGTGTACAACTGAAACTCAAATGTTGTCTTTCCGACGTTTCTTCTCGCTAATGCGCGGTGAATTGTGGGATAAATAATATTTACTACGTCATTCCCATAGAGATGGCGCTGGTATCGCGATGCCTGGGCATACAAATACCCGGGTATAGACTGGCTCGTTCGTCGCTTCACAACACGAAGTACTATATTATTCGGTACGATAACACTCATCTAATCCACGACAGCTTTTCACTATCGTGTCACTATCTCTGTTATGCTGTCGTCTTTATTTGATATTATCAATTATAATCGTACTAAGTTATATGCGAAGAACGGGGTTTTAAGATCCTAAATGGTAACATTACCGATATACACAGCAATTCAGTAGTGTAGCAACTCAGCATGTAACTACTACTACTACTAGCAGGAGTAAGATAATATAGATCTAGGTTAAATAGATAGATCAGGAGATAGATAGATCATAAAATAGATCAGGAGTAAGATAATAAGATCTATATTATCTTACTCCTGCTACTAGTACTACTACTAGTACTACTACTAGTAGTACTAGTAGTACTAGTTAGTACTAGTAGTAGTAGTAGTACTAGTACTAGTACTAGTAGTAGTACTAGTAGTAGTAGTACTAGCAGGAGTAAGATAATATAGGATAATCCTATATTATCTTACTCCTGGTACTAGTAGTAGTAGTAGATAGGCTAGCTCTAGTAGTAGTACTATACTATCCCGCGTTCGATAAACTGCCGCAGGTTTAGGGTCTGCGGCAGTTTATCGAACGCGGTTAGGGTTTAGGGCCTGCGGCAGTTTATCGAACGCGGGCTATAGTACTAGAGCTATAGATAGGCCTACAATAATGTAACCCAAACACTAGCTCGCCCGCGTGCGGCAACTGTACGCGGGCTATACTCAGTACTAGAGCTACCCAAACACAGGATTGGTTCCTATCCTGCCCTGTGTTGGGTGGTACATTATTGTATCTATACTAGTAGTAGTATTAATATCTAGAGTCTAGTCATCCTATCCAGCATATCCTGGCAGTGTATCACCGTCCTGGAAATCTTCTCTATCCTTGAACCAGAGTCTATATCTAATGTCTAGAGACAGAATGTCTAGAATAAAATCTTATTTATTTACAGGCTAGAGCTACGTTAGCTCTAGTACTATAGCCGCTTACATTAACTGCCGCTAAGGGGAAAGCCTTTTTTATCAGATCGACCTCCACTGGGGATCGCAATGTACCGAACGTTATCTCCCTGATTAAAGCCGCGACTATAAAACGTCGTTCTGTGTAGGAATATAATGCCGTCTTTATGGCCGAAGTGAAATATGTCTTAAGTTATAGCCTGGCTACACTCAAAAATTGAAGCCTGCTGAACTATCGGTTGCAGATGGTATACTTGCGTATTCTCTTGCTGAACAAGCATTGCGAATTTGGGCGAACTTCAAGACGCCATATTCTGCGGCGCTGCACATGCGGCAGCCTGCCAGCTAGCGGGGAACTATGTATTTCGAGCATGTAGAGGGGTGGCGGGGCGTTTGTGTTGTTGTGGAGACAAAAAAACAGTTGTACAAGTAATTCAATTAAGGCGATCAGACGAGGAATGTACCCATATCTAGATTTTGTCAGTGAAAGATGAACAAATTACTATGTTTTCAATTTGTTACTTGACAAAACAATGTTTTGTCCACAACCAACACAACGACCGACCCACCCTCTACATGCGGAAATACATAGCTGCCCGGCTGACTGGCTGAGATACGTTGTCCATTGCATGCCCCATGGGTCGGTCCTATAGCCGCAGCGGGCAGGTTAATGTAATGACGGCTATACGGTACTGAGAGCTAGAGGGCCTACGTTTGATTGCTGCAACTATACACACTAACGCACAGTAACACACTCAAAAACGGGCTGGGCCAGAATAAATGAATAATATAATTAACCTCATAACCTCATAGCCATAGTCATAAACATTAATCTTCAAAGCCCAAGGAATTATATCGAAGACAGATATAACCCAACAGAGTAGCGTTATGCTCTAGTATCGGTGCACCTCTTCTGTAGTGGTTTATATAATTAGAGAATTCATTCAGAATATTATGCACATAGTCTAGATGGCAGCTCTGTAGATCGCATGAGCGTGCGTCCGTGGCGTCGCCGTGCCCGTCAACAGTTGGCACGAAATCTATACGGCTCGACATACGGTCACGATATCGCGAGTGAGGGGTAGATCCGAAAACGAGTTGGGGATGTTGAAGGCTGGGGGCTGCAAGAGGTCAAAGGTAAGAGGTGTAAAAGAAGGGGAACATCCACGTGCGCATTAACTTAAGGTATACAGGGAGGAATGCAGAATCCTCGCGGGCACGAAATCTGAAACGGCTCGACCTAGCTCGTGATAGTCGGTCGTATAACTAGCATCAATGGAGTAGGAAAAGAATCACTTCGTGGCCAGAAATGTGAGTCACAGGTCAACAGGTCAAATCGGGTACACAGGCAGATTTTAGACATTTTCTGAGGACATGGTCTGACGAGCGATTGGAAACCAACTTTTTTGTTTCATACGCGGTGACCTATGCATTTTTTAATGGCTTTATTTGAAAAGGACCATGAAATATGCTAGTTCGCACTGCCATGGCGAAGAGTAAAGATATAGTCGATAAGCCATTCTTGGACCCTCAAAGCAGGAGGGTTAAACAGTTGATTGTTGTTTGACCTGTTAACAAAGGACTGAAAGACTGCCCCTTTGTGCTATTATGTAGAGCCCGATACCGATAGTGGGTCAATGTGAGGCTACAGCTTGCACAGTTTAAGTTGCAAAGGCAAATCTTTGCTCGCACGCAAGACACAGGTTTACGCTCCTTTAAATGACTATGATTTCTAAAGCAGTCTGTTTTAGCAGCCACTGCCCTCTGGGCCTGTAAAGGCGAATGATGAATCAGTGATGCTCGCATGACGGCAAGAAACACGAGGGCAGCCCATGGCTGGCACGCTTCCGTGAAATCATAATTGTTTGCTGCAGACCTGCAATGCACCCTGTTAACGATCCAGCGTGAGCAGAATTATCGCCTGCCTGAATACTCTTACTTTGGAATTTGCTAGCTGTAATACTGTAGGATTTCAAGCGAACGATGCCAATCTTGATTATTGATTGTACAGCCTTGGCACAGCGAGCGCATCTCGCGGCCAACTATAAGCTAGTTTAACATTAGACTTTTCATTCTCATTTCTCATGTAAGCTTTCGTTAAGACGAATAACAATAAGAACTAGTTAACCCGACATATAAATAATATGAATATTTACTTTTCACTACTATGAATCTAACGCATATAATATCATGTTAGGCTCATGGCGCGTGCGATCCATTGTACTCTAGTTGCTGCGAACATAAGCCCGTCAATAGAATACACATCATAGACGACACCTCATAATATTATGATGTCTGATGACTGTTTCACTCAGGGTGGCTATAGAAGAAAGCATTTATTGAGGGGGCAGTAAAAGGCATCATCGGCTGGGGTGTTAATATTTTTTTTATAGAAGTATAAGACGAAGAGAGAAGAAAGTCGTAAGATAAAGAGAGAGGAGAGTAGTAGTAAATAGAGACCGGAGGACAGGAAAACGGTGATTAGCGGTAGTGTATGCGAGCGGGAAACGGGTACATTGCATTAGGGTCGTGCGAGTGGTGTGGCAAGGGGATGGAGGGTAGGTGGGAGGCCACCAGGGGCGAGGGAGGTCGAAGGCAGGGGGAGGGAGATGGGAGGTGAAGGGATGGAAGTGAGAGGCAAGAGGAGTGATAGTGGGAGGCAGGGGGAGGGAGGGGGGACGCAGTGGGAGGGAGAGTGGGCAAGAGAAAGGACCTCCCGCGCCGCCGTCTATTAGACACCAGAAAAACTTGGAGATCCATGCTCATATGTTTGATAATCTTTTATAGATAGATAGAAAATAGAGTAGCTGTGAATCTGAATGACACAGAATTCGAAGTGAAAGGCGAAAGTATGCATTGTAATTAAAATAAACGCAAAATCGCATGGGGGGAGATAAGTGAGCGTGTCTAAAATGAATGCTGGTACGCAACGCATGCGTAATCTGCATATGCTGCCCGCACGCTGACGTAAGTGTGTCACTGCACAGGTTCACGAAGACAGCCGCGCAGGTCCGGGCGCATCAGTGTACTTGAATTGTAGCGATTCATAAGAGCGATGTAAGTGCAACAGACCCAGATGAGCCCGAACGCGTGCTGGCGGCTCGTTGTTTTACAGTACCCGATCGACGCACCGAATGACACACCGCCACGTTCACGCACGCGAGCCGCACGGCGAGCGTAGCTACCGCATAGCCAGTACTATAGCAAACAGTATAGTCTATTTCAGTCAATACTCAATAGTTTAGCAGAAGGAGTATTCAGACAGGCAGCATCATATATACTGCTGACTACTTTTGTAACTTCCGGGATGCTATTAGAACCAGAAAAATTGGCTACTCATCAAGCTGACTATATGTCCCCAGTTAGGTAAGCTTATCGAGTTTTTCAGCTACTTCTCTTACAGTACCTCTACAGCACAAACACACACCTAAACACAGCACTCCACCGCAGTCGCTATCACGCAACGCTACGCAGGCGCAAACAACACACCGCCGTAGTGAAAATCATGTTGACTTTCTGCCAAGCAAGTGGCGCGTTGCCACCTACAGCGCAATTGATAAAGTGAGTGGTTGTGTGGAGAGACAGGTCTTCTTCTAAAACCGGCGCGGGTTTCTTCTGAGGAAATATTAGACAATGGTGGTAATATGCCCAGTTGGGGAGAAAGCGCACAGATGGATTCAAATGCGAGGAGTAGATAATAGGGAATTCCCTGATTGATACTGACTCTAAATTCAAATCGTGCAGTAGGCACAAATTGTGGATTCTGTCTAGAGACTAAGGCTAAGTTTTCGACGCTGCGCATTGTCGCCGGGAGACTCACAGCATCTGGACCCATTCTCACCCGCACTCGCAGTGCGCGACTGCCTACGCATTCTCGACGCATTAATTTTCACGCCAAAGAATAAAAAATACAGAAAAATACAGCCCGGCGACCCACCATTAGCCGTACGTCTGTGGCTGTGCAGCATCGTGGTCTCGTCGCTTGCTGGTCTGGGCGGCATTGGTCTGAAGTACGGGGGGGGGGGGGATGGCACTGATTGCTTTGACAGTCGCGTGGGTGTGGTTATTTGCTGTATTATTCGTAGGGGTGGGCTACCGGGCGCTGGTATGAGGATATGCGACAGCTAATACTTTCCCGGGAATCGAGGAACAAAGCTGCCTAATCTGGGATATAACACAGCGAGTTGTGCCGGCCACGGCAACTAAAGAAAACTTGCTAGTTTCGCGACGATCAACGAATAGGATGCGATGTTGCATGACTGCTGGGTCCGATGTTTACTGGGCGTTGTTAATGTCCATGTGGGCGTGGGAAAAATTACGTATCGACAGCACACTTTTTTTCGAGGGGGCCAAATAGAGACTCCAATCGCCAGATTACTAATATTGTTCGCGTAAACCTTGGACTATGTTGGCAAATTTGGCAGAGTGGGTAGCGAGGGGCCCTTGTAAATATTATATATATATCATATATTAGTATATCTATGAGTGCAGTTTCTGCCCACGGTGGGCGGCGGTGGGCGGGTGTGCCCGGCACCCGCGGTTGCCGCCCAGCACTATATCTCCGCCCGGCAAAAATTTGTGATAAAAAAAAAAAAATTTAAACAAAGTCTGATATATGGGCTTTTTATTGCTCAGAATGCAGGAAATGAGTTCAGACTATCAAAAATCAAAAATTTCCAAGGGGGGCATGCCCCTGGCCCCCCCTAGATTGGCTTCGCGCCTACGGTGCTTCCATCTTCTGGATGCGCCCGGCACTAAAAAATCCTGGGCAGAACCCTGTATATATGTATATATATACAGCAGTGACATATCTGCAAAATGCGAGATCAGACAACTACTTAGCAGATGTAAATGAAGAGATGTGATAAAGTGATAAAACCAATAATATTTCCTAAACCAATAATAGAATATTAGAATGTTTTAAACACGAACGTTGTTCGGCAGTTGGCACCATGCCAATATGCTTCAGGGAGTAGCACGTGATATTTTTATAATTTCCTAGTATACAGAATAGCAAAGTAGGGTAATAAAGATTTTAAGATAATAAGATAATAGTACGAGTTAATAAAGATTTAAGTTATTGTGAAAGCAGAAATATTAACTGTTTCTAAAGCAGTTCTATTAAAAAATCCCAAACAGTTTAGGATCATGGATTTTATGTGTTCTGCTAACTCGTTGACTGTAACTAGTTGAACTACAATACAACTAATTCTACTAAAAAACAACTGTAACTATATACATGGACATAACTATAAAGTATATATGCAATGTGTATAGATATCAGGGGTAGAAATTAACTTTTAAACACGAAAGTCCAACGGACTCCCTACCCTCAAAAAGAGGGAGTCCGCAGCAAAATGAGGGAGTCCGCAGTCTGAGGTTCAAAATTAAAGATATTAAAACAACAACGCATGTGCATATTTTTAAGATTCATACGGTTGCACGTCTGCCAAATTTTCTTTGGACATTAGCTGAAAAAATACGGTAATTCCACGAGGCCGTGCTCTGGAACGAACTAGTTAGTATGGCAGAATTTTCAGGGAGTCACACGGACTCCTGCATATATGTCAAATCAGGGAGTCCGACAGTAAGTCGGGGAGTATTTGACTCCGGACTCGGGACTCGTTAATTTCGCACCCTGAGATGTGGTTATGCTATATAGCAACAATATATTATAAGATTTTAACTGTATACTACTAAAAACAAGTATGAAAGCTACACTGTAAGTCAGCACTACCTACCAAAATATAAATCTGTATAACTTACAGCTGAAGGCTGATTTTTATTTCATAATTAGGGTGAACATTTTGTTCGTGAAATTGTTTTATGTGACTTTCTTCCATGCATGTGTATGCTTTACATACTTGTTTTCAGGTGGCAGGCACTTGTGTTGGCAATCAGTTCGTCAACGCGTGTTCCTCGGTATGAACCCTGGACGAAACAGGAAGAGTGGCATGCGACTGCGCGGCCCGGCGCGCATGGCTGTGCTAGTGGTTGGCACGGTTGCCATATTGTTTGTCGGTGTTAAAATTTTTACCGCCACCAAGTCAAAAGTCACATCCAGTGATGATGGCCAAATGATGGCTGCAGCACAGAGTCTTATCAAGGTGAGATGTGTGTTTGCTGACAGTTGTGCAGGGGAACGGTTCTCCAGTCATCTGTTCGTTCGAAGTTGTGATAAAGTTATACGATGTATTCACGTGGTTTTTCTAGGGTGACCAGATTCGGAACCCTAGAGGTGATGTGCAGAAAGAAGTGCAGTTAATCTATAGACCAGGAGGAGAAGTAAGTCTGGAATATGTAGGGTATAAAGTTGATACGTCATTGGGAAATGGCCAATTCTCTGTCGCAATCTAAATAATGAAAGTATTGGGATCAGAGATAGCCTAAAATGCAATGAAATTTACTAAAAATATTTCCACCCCTTTGTATTGTGTGAAATGTTTCGCACTAGCTGTGCAATCGTTGTCATAAAATGTTGAAGAATAAGTGAAGCCACATAGAGCAATTTGGCACACACCTGGTTGAGCTAAAAAAACAAAAACATTTTCGTTCTAGTCAGGACATTTTAACACTGGAACATTTGAATAGGTTAATCCAAATGAATGATCAAAAAGGTTAACATTATGTAGCATAGATATTGGCAGCCCTGAAAATGAATCTACAATGGCATTGAATTGACCAGGGTAGCTTCAACTAAAGCAATGTGTTCTCATGACTGTTCTGTGAATTCACATCTATACACATTATATTATATGTTCTTGTATTGAATATACTTCCTTTTGATTTATTCACATGATACATCAGGCTGTAGAATCTGACAAGGGAAATGCTGGCCATGCTGGTAACATGATAAGGAAGTATGAGGAGGAAGAGTCAGACCTCAGGGAAGATAAGGCTGGATCACTTCACAAAGCGCATCCAGAATCAAAGAAAGCTGACAGTGACCAAGGATATGAGGCTGAAGATAATAAGGGTCTTCCAGGTATGTTTGTATTTTTTGGTCTTGATGGCTCAATGACAGGAACTGAATAGGATCCAACAGTGAGTGAGTTGAGTGATATATACTTTTGATTGAGTGATATACAAATTTATTACAATTTGAGGTTATTAATTCATCTTTTTTTTTGTTATTTACTGGGTAAATGTTTGACTAAGATACGTTTAGCTTAGTCGTTAGTGCTTCTGCATTATATGTTCCACATATATAATTATAACTTAATTGTAACTAACCAGCTAAGATATTCCAGTTCGTCTTGTATGTCTGGGCACCAAAATATAAGGCCCACGAGAATGTTTCATGGTAAATTCCAGTGTACTTCTCCACACTTCTTCACACTAGTTATTTTGCAATTTACGTATCTAAAATAGTATCTTGATCACGTTGTCATTAATAATCATACATGCATTAATGTATAATCATACATATTTCCCATCTATTTTTTGTAGATATTAAAATGTCCAGGCTTTCTGCACTTGGTGATAAGAAAGGTGTGTATGAAATCAATTTCTAATTTACCATATAATATTATTAAAAAAAATATCTAACTATAACATATTGCTAGAATTACAGCTATACTTTCCCCCCAAAATACACAATGCATATCCACTCAAAGTAGTGTTTTATGCAAGCATTTTATGCATTAAGATATTTGATTAGATAGATCTAACACAAAAGCCTCCTTGTTCGAACCTTGCATTCCGATGTTTACGTCATCAAAAGCACAGAATAATATTGACGCAGTGGCTGCCAGTGACTCGACTTATATGTGTATAAACCAAGGCATCATTTGGGCATACAACATTTACTTTTCTTTAAATGTGAATTTTGTCAATGTACAAAACTATTCTAGAATAGACTAAACTGGGCACCGTTTGTGTAATGCCTGTGCACGCTCAAGTAAATTTTATTACGAATGGTCATGGCAGTTTGTTTACAATTTGCTAACTACATTCATCACCATACGAGGCTTGCTTGTGCTAAAGGTGGCAATTTTTGGAAAATTTTCATGTGGTAATCAAGAACTGGGTGTGTTTATGAACATTTATGACAGCTTGTCGTCAGTGAAATACAGTTTTGAAGGGAATGCATACATAGTGTTCATCCAATTTAGAACTTCTGAAGCATGGTAGTTATTAAACATTAGACAGATATATTTATTGTATCAGACTAACAAAACACTTGTCTGATAATGAAGGGAATCAACGTGCATTTGCCTGTCGAGCTACACATATATACCGAACAGAAATAACAATATTGGTTCTTCTTTGAAACAAAAAGCAGGACTGAGTCAACAAGGAGATGAAGCTTTCCAACAGCAGCCAATCCAACAGAACATGGACGTTGCTGGAGTATTCAATGAACCTGCTATTCCTCCAGTTGCACAGGTTCCTGAATGGGTAAGTTATTCCAAGTGTTATTATTAAATAGGTGGATTTCATATTTGTTAGAAGCCGTTTAACCTTTATTAGTAAGATGGTTAAAGGTTATTTTCATGTACATATGAGAATACTGTTTTTTTCTTCAAAGTAGATAATGTTGTAACTGAAGCCTTCATGCGCTGTTAATAACAGCTAAATTCATTTCATGCAAATTCAATGGGGATTATCGAAATGTTTGCATTGTATTATATATCCATATCATATAATATAGTGATAACTATGATTAAAGTGTGTTTTCCCTCTCAGGCGTTGGATGTTCAGAGATTGGCTGCATCTACGATCATTGCAAAACCACCTACATTGCCGTTTATACCACCAGCCAAACTTGTTCATCTAGACCTCAAAGGAGCGCCACCTAAAATTTCTTACTTTAAACAGATGTTTCCATTGTATCACAAGCTAGGTGAGTTTCAATTAATCCATTTAAAATGGATTTTTCTGTACGATTTAATATGTGAATAATTTTTGACAATTGATTATAACCAAAATAAATGTGTGACTACGGTTTATGTGGGATATGTATTACTAAATGTATCACTGATAACATTCCATATGCGGTATGCTCAGAACATTTACTTACACAGCATGTTTGTGTGATGTGCAGGGGCAACAGGTCTATTAATAGAGTATGAAGACATGTTCCCATATGCTGGTGAACTACAAGATCTTGCTGCTGGTAATGCATACACTCCGGATGATATCAAGTACGTTTGAATTTGCACAAACTTTAAATAGCGTATATTCGTAACAGTTTGTTAGTATTTAAACATATACAAAAAGGCCTTGTTGCCTATATATATTGCCTATTTCTGTTGCTGCATGTTGTAGTAGATATCCCCTGCCAAAAAAATTATGGCAAAAATTACTCGGTATAGCTCTCGTCAAATACTAATTATTGTTCATATGTACCAATGTATGCCTATTGTTTTGATTGTTATTTGCTTTGGTGGATCTAGAAATAAAAAACATAAAAATAAAAAAAAAGTACGTTAGAATTCAGTGGTTGCGTGCAATGTTTGCGCTGCATATAAAACGCCACAGTCTCAAATTTACACTTTAAAATCATGGCTCAGTATGAGCATATGAAGTCTTATCCATTTCATTCTTTCTGGTTTTGCAATGTTATATACTCACAGGGCATTAGGCAGAGAAAAATGCATCTTGGTAGATTCATGATACGGTTATTATAGGTCTGGTGCCCTGAGTTCACTTGAGAGCAATTGTAACAGCCATTTCATTTAAGGACCAATAGGAAAATTCCCCTAAGAAAATTATTACATACTTATTTAATATCGTGCTCTTCCTTCTTGTACATATTTTCCTTAGAAAGATTTGAATGACAATTATCATCAAAGAGTTTTAGACACGTTAGTGTATTAGACATGTTAGAGTATTTGGCAAGTTAGATTATATTATGAGTGAAATGAAGTATAAATGGTTACTTTTATGCATTTTTTTCATTATTTTGCAGAGGTATTGTGAATTTGGCCCGTGAAAATCAATTGGAGATTATTCCACTAATTCAGACCTTTGGACACATGGAATTTGTTCTGAAATATGAAAAGTACATAGCCTACAGAGAGGTAAGTCAGGTTATAGTAGTAACAGCTAGTGTTTACAAGCATATTTTTTGTTACATCTGCACAGCCAACATACTATGTTGAAAGATCTATTACCGAGAACAAATTGATGACTGTCACTAGTATACACATTGTCAAATTGCAAAAAAAAATTGCAAACTAGCTGTATTTTCATGTAACAATGTAATAATTGTAAGTCTCAATATCTATACAAAACTTGTGCTGTGTGTGCATATATCGATATGCATCCTATAGCAATGGTGATGCATATTTATAGTAAGTAATATGATCGATAGCATATTATTATTTCTACTGAACCTACTTAACTCACACGCATTCATCTGTGATATTATTGAGGTGTTCTTGTGTATATTAGAACCCTAAGACACCGCAAGCGATCTGCCCACGCATGCCATTCTCAATGAAGCTGATCCAAGGCATGCTTGACCAGGTTATTGCCATGCACCCAGGTATGTGTGTGCCATAGACCATCCATCATTATACATACACAAATACTCAAACCCTCTATTTCACAGTTCAAGCACTAAATCTCTTGGTCATATGTGAACGGTTCTGACCATTACGGACTTGCTGCATTACCCCATGTATAGAGACAACAGTCTTGTTATTCGAGTCGGTGACATAATTGTTAATAATATTGCTATATTTCGTGATGTTTAAGGAACCACGTGGACATGTGGTTAGTGTCTTTAAGGCAGTCATAGACTGCCTACATTAGTCTGTTCCTTTCAGTGCTTTGAACTCTTACAATGGATGGTCCCGCAATGTATACTAACTTTTGTGTTTGTACTGGGTGATTTACCATTGTTTAGCTGTTTCATAATATGCTGCGAAAGATCTGATGCTAGTAATCACTATAGTTGTAGCTTTCTGTCTTGCACTGCTCTGGCTCTCATTCCATTCCTTTGGTCACTGTTTTGCTCTATTTAATGATCGCTCTCTCTCTCTTATTCCCTCTCTCTATCTTCCCACTTCTCTCTCTTAGTCCCTCCCCCCTCTCTCTTGCTCACTCTTTCTCTCTCTCTCTCTTTTTCTCTCTTTTTCATTGAGCTTTCACTGCTTTCCTTCATTTCTTCCCTCTGTTACTATCTTTCTTGATCTATTTCTCTCTCTCTCTTTCTCTCTCTCTCTCTCTCTCATCCTCTCTCTCTCTCTCTCTCTTCTCTCTCTTTCTTTCTCTCTCTCTCTCTCTCTCTCTATCTCTATCTCTATCTCTATCTCTCTCCTCTCTATCTCTATCTCTCTCTCTCTCTCTCTCTCTCTTATATATATATATATATATATATATATATATATATCTCTTTCTCTCTCTCTCTCTCTCTCTCTCTCTCTCTCTCAGTCTCATTCTATCTTTCTCTCTATTTGTTCTGTCTCTTGCCCGTCCTTGCTCTGTTATTAAAGTTTGCCTGCGATTGTAGGCATCAGATACCTTCACATTGGCTCTGATGAGGTGTATCACCTTGGGGAGTGTCCTACATGTAAGCAGTACATGGCGAAAGGCAATCTTACGAAGGAAGACCTCTTCATGGAGCACATAGTGAAGGTACTTCAATCACCATGTTCCCCCTGACAACTTTTACATGTCTTTATCGCAACTTTATCTACTTTACAGCTTTATATGTAAGCTTGTATGTTCTAGCTTATCATTGTATAAAATTTTATACGGCAGGATGATGACCACTGCTTATATGCAGTAAACTTGCTTTAATTGAGCTGTTTGTTAACTGACTTGAATGGGATAACAAATAATGTGTGATGACAAGTTGTACCTTTTCATTGGGGTCATTATCGTAATGGTTTTATTTATTTGTTTTGTGAACCTAAATCACAGGTCGCCAGTTATGTGAGAACCGAACACCGTTTGACACCCATCATGTGGGATGACATGTACCGACATATTCAGAGTGAGGTGTTCCTAAAGTACAAAATTGGTGAGTCTGAACTGAGCATGCTTCCTTGATTATTATGATAGCTTATTTTAGCCCTGAGTGCATTCACTCTTGTATTACATATCTGCCAATATAGACCGTGTATGTAAATGTTTAATAGTTCACTAAACACTACACGATATCGCGCTCTAAGCCCTGCATCGCTGATCCGCTAGCTGACTTTTGATATAATTCTGTCTTCTGCTAATCAGTGTGGTTACTCCTACAGCAGACTAGTTTTTCATCTTTTTTTCCCACATAAGAACAATCAATAGCCTTTCTAAGCAGTAGGTAAGGTTGTAAGTGTAAGTGTAACATGCCAGGTTGTAAGTGTAAAGGATGACACCCATTGAATCCCTAAAATAAAATATCCACTAAAAACACCAATTAGATGATATTATTGCATGATTCTGAGGTAACAGTAAAGGTTAATGACAACTATTAGAAGGAAACTACAGGAAAATATTGGCTTGATTTTACAGGTGACCTGGTGGAACCAATGGTGTGGGCTTATCACCCAAATCTCACACAATTTCTTCATGCTGGAATATGGGATCAGTACGCAAAGGTAGAACTTGTCATTGTTATTTCACATGTAAATGATTGAATATCTTTTCAATTGATTCAAAATCTGTCAATGTTGTAATGCATTTGCCATTTAGCCAGGTATAAGAATTCACTGAACATTGTGAGATTACAAGCTATGAGGTTATCTACTTACTGTATACTTATATAGTTTCTTAGTTCGTCTAGTGTCTATCATTCTTTGTATAGTTTACTTATATATTTATAGTTATTAGGTATGATGGTGTTTGTCTTTGAAAAATGCTTAATTAAGCTGATGTTCGTGGCTTTATGGGTTCAGTTACATTTTCACAGAATCATTCTCAAAAATGTCTAGAAATCATGTTAATGACAAGATTTGTAAAAACCACGTTGTGACATAATATGCCTCAAAATATTAACTCCTCAGAAGGTGAAACAGAAATCTGTAATGCCCACAGTTATAGGCTAGAACTAATGCACTGCTATCCATCGCTTTACAGGTTTTCAAAAAAGTATGGGTTGCAAGCTCATTTAAAGGTGCTACAGGGATTGACCAATACGTGACGAATATCACGCATCATCTAGAAAATCATCTTTCCTGGCTGCAGATAATGACTGCCTATAAGTCAGCCTTCAGCTTTCAAGGAATTGCACTTACAGGTGAAGGTCTAATTTACTAAGACATGCTTGTGAAATGTTGCTGGTCATTTGAGTATTTAATAAGGTAAACTAATCAAATCAAAAGGTGAATAAAAGTATGATAAATAAAAAAATGATAATAAAATTAAAGTGATGTTAAAATAATAAGTAAATAAATCAGAATAATAAAACGGTGGTGAAATTGAAAAATGGACTGTCAGACTTACACAGCGCGTTGCTTCTCGCGTCAGGCTGGCAGCGATACGACCACTTCGCCGTGCTCTGCGAGCTGCTACCAGTCGCCACGCCATCACTCGCCCTCTGCCTGCAGACCGTCGTCAACGGCGGCATCGATCCGAACATCGTCAATCGCGTCTCGAATCTTCTCGGCTTCGCGACGCCGATCAACATCACGCTCGGTCCCGACCGGCCGCTGCCCGAGTCGGCGCCGCACTTCCCTGGTGGTGACGTCTACCACGAGGCGCAGCGGCTGTACCGTCTCGATGCGTGGGCGCACGGATTCGAGCACCTCGGCAACTTCCTCGGCTTTCTGACGCCGTACCAGCTGCGGCGCAACTTCTCGAGCGTGTCGTCGCTCGAGGCCGGTCTGCGGCAGTATGCGCCGCTCGTCGATGCGCTCAAGGCGGCGCGCGACGATGCCGCGGAGGCGCTGTGGGGCGTCTACGACGGGCACACGGTCGCCGAGTGGCTGGAGCAGCGCATAACGGCGACGCTCGACAGACTGCACGCCATGAAACGCTCCGCCGACAGTCTCATCGCGAGGAGAACGTGGCCACGGCGACCACTCGACGCACGGCCACCACTGCAGTGAGAGTACTAGCAGCAGTAGTGAGCTACTGAGCAGTACTAGCAGCAGCAGTAAGCTACTGAGCAGTACTAGCAGCAGCAGTAAGCTACTGAGCAGTACTAGCAACAGTAGTAAGCTACTGAGCAGTACTAGCAGCAGCAGTGAGCTACTGAGCAGTACTAGCAGCAGCAGTAAGCTACTGAGCAGTACTAGCAGCAGCAGTAAGCTACTGAGCAGTACTAGCAGCAGCAGTGAGATACTGAGCAGTACTAGCAGCAGCAGTGAGCTACTGAGCAGTACGGCAGCATGGCAGCCAGTAAGTATGAGCAGTACTTAGGCAGCCAGCAGTTGAGTACAAAGCCAGTACTAGCAGCAGCTGTGAGCTACTGGAGCAGTACTAGCCAGCAGCAGTAAGCTACTGAGCAGCTACTAGCAGCAGCAGTAAGCTACCTGCAGCAGTACTAGCAACAGTAGTAAGCTACTGAGCAGTACTAGCAGCCAGCAGTGAGGCTAGCTGAGCAGTACTAGCAACAGTTTAGGTGAGACCCCTACGCTGAGCAGTACAGCTAGCAGCAGTGAGATACTGAGCAGTTACTAGGCAGCGCAGCCAGTAAGTACCTGAGCAGTAACTAGCCAGCAGCAAGTGAGCTACTGAGCAGTACTAGCAGCAGCAGTGAGCTACTGAGCAGTAACTAGCAGCCAGCAGTAAGTACTGAGCAGTTACTTGAGCAGCAGCAGTAAGCTACTGAGCAGTACTAACAGCAGCAGTAGGCTACTGAAGCAGTATAGAACAGCAGTGAGCTACTGAACAGTACTAGCAGCCAGCAGTAGCCTACTGAGCAGTACTAGCAGCCAGCAGTGAGTTACTGAGCAGTACTAGCAGCAGCAGTGCAGCTACTAAGCAGTACTAGCAGCAGCAGTGAGCTACTGGAGCTGCTACTAGCCAGCAGCAGTTAAGCTACTGAGCACTACTAACAGCAGCAGGCCAGCTGAGATACTTGAGCAGTTACTAGCAGCAGCAGTGAGCTGAACTGATGGCATACTAGCCAGCCAGCAGTGAGCTATGGAGCAGCTACTAACAGCAGCCAGGTAGAGCTTACTGAGCAGTACTAGCAGGGCAGCAGTAAGCTTACTGAGCTGTACTAGCAGCAGCACAGAGGGGCCTACTAGCCAGTACTTGCAGCAGCTAGTGAGTACTGAGCAGTTACTAGCAGCAGCAGGGAAGCCTACTGAGCCAGTACTAGCCTGCAGCAGTTAAGCTACTGAGCAGTACTCGCAGCAGCAGTAAGTACTGACAGTACTAGCCAGCAGCAGTAAGCTACTGAGCAGTTACTAGCAGCGCCAGGTAAGCTACCTGAGCAGTACTAGCAGCAGCAAGTTAAGTACTACTTACTACACCGCAGCAGTAGCTACTGAGCAGTACTAGCAGAGCAGTAAGCTACTGAGCAGTACTAGCAGCAGCAGTAAGTACTGCAGCTGTACTAGCAGCAGCCAGCAGCTACTGAGCAGTACTTGCAGCAGCAGTGAGCTACTGAGCAGATACTGGCAGGGCAGCCAGGTGAGATACTGAGCAGTACTGGCAGCAGCAGTGAGCTACTGAGCAGTATAGCAACGTAGTGATTCTACTGAGCAAGTACTAGCTAGCAGCAGTGAGTACTGAGCAGTAACTAGCAGCAGCAGTAAGCTACTGAGCAGTACTAAGCAGCCAAGCAGTAGCTACTGCAGTACTTAGCTAGCAGCATGTGAGCTACTGAGCAGTACTTAGCAGCAGCAGTAGCTACTGAGCAGCTACTAGCAGCAGCAGGTTGAGATACTGAGCCATGACAGCAGCAGCAGTGAGCTACTGCAGCAGTACTAGTAGCAGCAGTGAGCATACTGAGCATTACTAGCAGCAGCAGTAGCTATCTGAGCGAGTACTGAGCAGCAGCAGTGAGCTACTGAGCAGTAACTAGAGCAGCAGTGAGCTACTGAGCAGTACTAGCAGCAGCAGCTATAGCTACTGAGCAGTACTGGAGCAGCAGTAAGCCCTACTGTACCCCGAGCAGTACTAAACAGCCAGCAGTAGGCTACATGAGCAGTACTTAGCAACAGCCAGTGTAGCTACTGAACAGTTACTAGCAGCAAGCGTAAGCTTACTGAGCAGCTACTAAGCCAGCAGCAGTGAGTTACTGAGCAGTTATAGCAGCGCAGTGAGCTACTAAGCAGTACTAGCAGCAGCATGAGCTATCGTGGAGCTGTACATTAGCAGCAGCAGTAGCTCTGAGCACTACTAACAGCGCAGCAGTGAGATAACTGAGCCAGTACTAAGCAGCGCAGTGAAGCTACTGAAGCAGTTTACTAGCAGCAGCAGTGAGCTACGAGCAGTATAAACAGCCAGCAAGTGAGTACTGAGCAGTACTAGCAGCAGCCAGTAAGCTACTGAGCTGTATAGCCTAGCAGCCCAGCAAGCTACTGAGCAGTACTTGCAGCCAGCAGTGAGCTACTCGAGCCAGTACTAGCAGCAGCAGGGAGCTACTGAGGCAGTCTACAGCTGCAGCAGTAAGCTACTGAAGCAGTACTCGCAGCAGCAGTAAGCTCTGAGCCAGTACTGCAGCAGCAGTAAGCTACCTGGCAAGTACTAGCAGCAGCAGTAAGCTACTGAGCAGTATAGCAGCAGCAGTAAGCTACTGAGCTGTACTAGCAAGCAGCCAGTAAGCTACTGAGCAGTAACTAGCAGCCAGCAGTAAAGCTACTGAGCAGGCAGTACTAGCAGCCCAGCAGTAAGCTTACGTGAGCTGTACCTAGCAGCAGCAAGCAAGCTACTGACAGTACTTGCAGCAGCTAGTGAGCCTAACTTGAGCTAAGTACTGGCAGCAGCAGTGAGATTACCTGACAGTACTGCAGCAGCAGTGAGCCTTACTGAGCATACTAGCAACAGTAGTGAGCTACTGAGCAGTACTAGTAGCAGCAGTGAGCCTACTGAGCAGCTTACTAGCAGCAGCAGTAAGCTTACTGAGCAGTCTGCAGCAGCAGTAAGCTACTGGCAGTATTAGCTAGCGCAAGTGAAGCTACTGAGCAGTACTAGCAGCAGCAGTAAAGCTACTGAGCAGTACTAGCAGCAGCAGTGAGAATTACTGAGCAGTACTAGCAGCCAGCAGTGGCTACTGAGCAGTATAACAGCCAGCAGTAAGCTACTGAGCAGGGTGACTAGCAGCAGCAGTAAGCTACTGCGAGCAGTACTAGCCAGCAGCAGTGACTACTGAGCAGTACTAACAGCGCCCCAGTAAGCTACTGATGCAGTACTAGCAGCAGCAGTAAGCTACTTGGAAGCAGTACTAGCAGCAAGCCATTTAAGCTACTGAGCAGTACTAGCTAGCGACAGTGAGCTACTTGAGCAGTACTAGCAGCCCAGGCAGTAAGCTACTGAGCAGTACTAGCAGCAGCAGCTGAGATCTGTGAGCGAAGTACTAGCTAGCCATGCAGTTGAGCTAGCTGAGCATACTTGCAGCAGCAGTGAGCTACTGAGCAGTACTGGCAGCAGCAGTGAGATACTGAGCCAGTACTGGCAGCAGCAGTGACGACCTACTGCTAGCAAGTACTAGCAGCAGCAGTGACCTACTGAGCAGTACTAGCAGCAGCAGGCAGTAAAGCTACTGAGCAGTACAAGCGCGTAGGCAGCAGTAAGCTACTGAGCAGTACTTAGCAGCGAGCAGTATAGCTTAACTGCCAGCAGTTACTAGCAGCAGCCAGCATGAGATATGAGCAGTACTAGCAGCCAGCAGTTGAGCTACTGAGGCTGTACTAGCTGGGCAGCGCAGTAAGCTAACTGAGCATACTAGCAGCAGCAGTTAAGCTACTGAGCTGTACTAGCAGCAGCAGTGAGATACTGAGCAGTACTAGCAGCAGCAGTGACCTACTGAGCAGTACTAGCTGCAGTAAGTACGTTAGAATGGTTGTTGCGAGAGTTAGAAGCAGATTTAACAGGTGACTTGTGAGAAGGATGAGCGGCCCTCGCTGCATCACAGAGCAATCGCTTAAATTCATTATTGCAATATTACCCCTCTTCTAGATGACCTATCCTCGTGGTGTGATTGGCAAGCAGCTGTAGCCAATCACTGCTGCAACAGGACGTTCTAAAGACAATGCTTGGCAATCACTGAGCTGTATATAATAACGCATATATTATTACATTAACAAATTACATTAATTGCATCATTCATGGTATTATATACAGCTCAGCGTTGGCAATGGAAGGCCGCAAGGTTGAAATTTCGGTGTGCATGTGTGAAGCACGTACAACCTGGTCGGTAACATCCCAGTTGGCCTACTCCCATTTTCGCCTACTCTAATTTCGCCTACTCCCATTTCGTCCACTCTTACTCTTGGATATATTCAAGGGTACACAACGCCGTGTAAAAAATAAATGCGATGCGTTAGATGCTATGCCAACAATGTGAAACTGCCAACGTACCAATTGTTCTGCAGGTTTTACTATCTTGCAGTGATTGGTTGGATATAATTGACAAAAGTGGAAACATACGTTACGTATATATTCTGTTGGCAATTTTGCATTCCATGTCTGTTCCGTTGCTCATTGACACGGATTCACTGCATCCGTGAAATTTATCCAGTTGCGCATGATTTCTGAGCGTGTTATGTGGCATATCTACACAATGACACGAATTTATATACTATGACTGTATGCTTTCAACTAATTAATGTTTTATCTAGATTCGTTTTACAGGGTGAGATTGCACGTTTGGCAGTGTAGTTATGCAGCACCCGTCTGGTGCGTGTGTTATGCCATTGACATTAGGAGTGGTAATTGCTTAGTTGGTCTGTGCAGTTTTTCTATTCCGTTTTGTGTGATTAGGTTTAACTTGATAGTCATAAGCACTTTTTTTGTAATTTGTATATCATTATAATATTATATTATAGACCAATAGGTATGAGCACTTTCTTATTGTCTTGCGCTGAGTTTCGCTGTCCGGTAAAATCGATAAAGTAAACGAAATATTCTTTGAATATATCACTATATTAATATTAATGGGAGTAGTGAATGGGGTTACTGTTAAGGCATGCATGGGCGTCTCTCGCACTGTGAGTGGAGTGGTGTGT